GACTTTGGCCTAGCTTAAGCATTAGATCGAAAATTATCTAGCATTACCGTTCCTTGAGGTTCGAATCCGAACTTACCACTGGACTTCTTTAGGAGTTAGTTTAGGATTTATAAATTGTTTGACCGTGAGGAGGTTAGTCAACGACCTAATTACCCCGCGTTCACACATTCACACACTTCATTCACATATACATAGCCATATCATCCTTCCCTTATGAATCCTTTGTCAAGAAATCTTGTTTCAACACCGCGCATACTTCATCATACTAAAGTGAACATCATCATCAACAATCACCACTGTATACGTGCTTAGCTTCCAGAGCTAAGCAACGTCCAAGATTGTACACTATATAGGATGCTTAGCTTCCCGACCTAGGCAACATACATCGACGATAAACTACGATTATATTGTGCTTAGCTTCCTAACCTAAGTGCATTCATTAATCGTGTCACATGATGTAATTGTCCTTAGTCTTTCCTAAGAACATTCATCATGCATACAGTATTTTTAACACGAGCGATTCAATTCGACAAGAAGAAAATCCATGTGATTCACCTTGCTTCGCTCTATCAAACTCGACAAGGAAGCTCAAGAATTCTTCCCCATTTTCTAAATTTTTTTTCTTTTCTTTTGGGGAAGTTCAAAAACTTTTCTAAAATTTTTTCCTTTGGGGAAGTTCAAAAACGTTTTCAAATTTTTTCTTTTGGGGGAAGTTTGAAAACTTCTTCCACACTTCATGTTTCACGTCTTTCTTTTTCGGGAGAAAGTCAATTCCTCCACTCATGACAAAAAATGACGGAAATTTTCTCATTTTTACTTGCTTGTGTCTGCACACACACTCAAATTGTACACATACACACAGTCACAAGTCATGTCATGTCGTGTCAAGTCAAGCTTGGTCGAGTCAATTGGTTCAGTCTTGAGTCAATCACTGTTTATACGAGTCCTTTAGCAAATTCCATTTTCCGGGTCTCCGATACAACCTCTGTTCGGGGGAAATCGAACAATCATATCTTTAGCTTCTGTTCGGGGACAATCTAGTAATCATATTACCAAACTCTGTTCGGGGACAATCGAGCAATCATATAAACAGCCTCTGTTCGGGGATAATCGAACAATCAAACCATCAACATCTACAGCCAACGTTCGGGGACAATCGAACCATTATCATTTATCAAACACTCAGTGATCATCCCGAGGCGCGGACAATTCACGTTGCAAGTTTCTCGAGGCGCAGAGACTTGTAATTTTTTTTTATCATCAGGCACGTTTTCTCGAGGCGTGGAAAATGGTCAGTTGTTGCATACTTCTCGAGTTGTAGAGGTCTGTAATTGTGTCCCGAGGCGTGGACACTTAGTGTTATTCCCGGAGTATGGAATTTCAATTGTGAGTTACTCGAGGCGTAGGAGCTCACGATAGGATTCCCGGGGCGCGGATACTATCTCATATCAGTCTTCCCGAGGTGCGGAAGATCATCATTCAGTAGGCTGCTCGAGGCGCAGGAGTCTACGACATGTTTTCCGAGGCGCAAAAACTTATAACCTTTCATTCAGTGGTTCACAATAGAATTCCCGAGGTGCGGAAGACTATCATCCGGTAGATTTATGGAGGCGAAGAAAGTTACCAAGCATATGTGGTGTCGACGCCCTGGTGTTAGATACGCATTCTATCCTTTACTCTTTTACCTGTGGAACTAACGCTTTTCTGCAAGTATCGGCGTATACAGAGTGATTTAGAATAGAAGAACGTCTTAAATCATTCTCCGTCCTAATCGACTACTTTGACTATCGTTTTCAAAACTTACGTTTCTACAAACTCAGTCAAAGTGGGGGCTTCTGTAGACACCTAAAAATGTCTCCCTAAAACCAAACCCGATGATGAACATCCTTTCAGCGCCATTATTGGTCAGTTCGATTATTTAATCTCGGGAGTTCTTAAATTCCTGTTTCAACCAAACACAACATACAAATCAGTCCACATTTTCAGTCCAAGTATTTAATCAAGCATTTCCAATCTTCGTTCTAGCCCAAACCTCTTTTAATCCATTTCATTTATTTATTAATTGAGCCCAATTATAAATATATTAAAACCCTAAAACTAAAATAAGTCCGAAACACTAAATTAGCGCCTAAATTAACCCGTATTCAATGCAAAATAAAAGATAAAAATGAACGTTAGACAAAATTCCAGAAAACACAAACGCCGCGCCACGGCAGTTTCTGCCGCATCACGGCAACTCTGCCGTGACACATCAATTTCTAGGTTTAATTTCTCCGCGACGCTTCATTTCTAGGGTTTCGGACCTCACCCATCTTATTTCCTCTATAAATACGAGGCTGATTTCTCAGTTTCGGCCTTCGGGGCACCAAAATAACTCTCCCTCTCTCTCTCTCTCTCTCTCTCTCTCTCTCTCTCTTATGTTCTAGCCTATGTACTTGCTTCCTTATTCCTTCACAATACATCCCCTATCCCTAAGCACTCCCCGGAGTCCGTACTTTACCCGAAGTTTTAAACTTAAACCAAGGCGTGAAAGGTAGAAGGGTTTGAGGGTTTAGCCCCAAATCAAATTTACTTTCATTTGATTTGATTTCTATTTTTATTATTAATTTTCCTTGAAGTTACTAACGCATTTATTGTTTTATAGTTGCAAGCAAAAGCAATCAAAGTAAGGAATCATGTTTCTTTTGTTCTTGTTATATTTCTAACGGTTTTTCATATACTGATCGTTGTTATTATGGTTAAATTGCTTCCAATGTTGATGTTTATTCTATTATATTGATAACCATATTGCATGTTAAAGGGAATATGTAATTAAATATAACGCCTAATAAGATAATTTGGACGACCGATTTAGGATCCTTTTTAATCTTGTTATTTAATTGAAGTGATCACAATATTTTAGAATTATATATTGCATTAACAATCAACCAATTTATCTTAATAATAGTTTGGATCAAATTTGAATATTTGTTTGTGTGCCTTTGAGATATCAGGAATTACTTTTCACAATAAGAATCGAGTAGAGGCCAATGCGGGCGAATGTGACTCCATGACTCACTTCGTACCATCATCCCCGATCCTCCTTTTGTGGTTCCCAATTGAACCATATGGAGTTAGTAGTCTCATGGATTATGAATGGGGTGTAACCTTCACGGGTCAATCGTTGTTACTTTTCGTTGTCTCTTATCGTGGTTGCCTTGTAATGATCCGTGAACGTTTACAAGTTCCTTAAAAACTTGTTTGCGGCTCCCTTTGCTTTGTCCCTAATCGTATGTCAATTCTCACTTCCTATGATTGCCAAGCATATTCACACATACTTAAGTAGGCGCGCTTCGAATGACGCCTACAATACTATGAAATTCTATACAATGTATCAAGTTCTTTGTCCCTATTATTTACAGAATTCAAGTCAATCTCCTAAAAAATTATGCCGATTAAGTAGTGTGCACTTTTAAAAATAGAGGGATAATTTTTCTTGCATTAAATGTCTTAATTTATTATAAAATAATAATATTATAATTGTAGTTAAATAAAGATATCTTTAATGAATGTTATTTTTTCATAGTAATAATTCATATCAAAGTTATCAAAATTGAGAATTCACTTTGAATTGGAAGGAATTTTGATGTGTATGTGTTACGGATGATATTAGTCCTTATTTTCAGAAGTTTTTCTACAGGTTTTTATTTCTCATATGAGAAGGTTTTTTCTTGTTTTAGGCTTAGAATATTTTAATTATGCAGTTTTATTTTGACAATAATTATTTTTACGATATAGGAGAATTCGAGTGAGATGATTTTTAGTGATTGTGACTATTCACCATAATTTTATTTGGTATGTATACATTTATGAATTTTTAATACTCGCATAGTATCATATTAGGTATTCTATAGACTTTGAAAATTGAAGTGACATCATGATAAGAAGATCATGATTCTTGGATTGTTTGATGAATTTTGTTTAATGACTTGTTTACAAGCATGATAAGAAGTGATAGTTTAATTATGACATGATATATTTATTGTTTGCCTTAGCCGTTGTCACAGTGGCAGTAATAATGTCTTAGATTTTCCTATTTCGTATTTTAAAAAAAGGCAAAACAGGTATTTTTAAGGAAAGGAATTTCTAGGGTGTTACAGTTGGGGCCTGCCTCGCCTATAAGGTCTAAATACCCCAATTTACACCTAACAAGGTATCTACAAGCACTTTCCCATTTTTTATACTTGCAAGCATTGATTTCTGTCCTTGAGTTCTCAATCTCACGTACTGACTTAGGCATCGGAGGGGTTTCGTTCCTCGAACACACCCCCAAGGCCAGTTAACGTGCTCTCTTGTGCAGGTGATCTTCGACCCCATTATACAAGGTCCGAATTCAGTGTTCGGCCCAAGTATAAAGATCAAAGTTTTGACCACATTTTTCACCCGAAACACATGATAGTAGCATTAACATCAAGTGGTTATGTTATTGATCTAATGAAGTTCATACAATAAGCTAGCCAACTTTTTGTGGACATTTCAAAAAAAAAAAATCTTTGTACACATGCACAACCTTTACATTTTGATGATCATGTAGAAAAATAATACAGGTAGTATAGCTTCTATTGAAATATGTCTATTGCTCCCATCTCTATCCCCCCACCCCCCCCAAAAAAAAAAAAAAAAAAAAAAAAAAAAAAAAAAAAAAGAAGAACAAAAAATCAAAATCACCAAAGGTTTAAAAATTAATTTCGTTGAAATTTTTGTATTGCCAGTAAAAATAAGTGGAAGCAAAGAATTGGTTATACTCGCCAGCTTTCATGTGTATCAATATCAATACATTTTAAGCTCTCAATAAATTTAATTTATTATCAACATTTACTTAATAAAGGGGACTTTTTTTCATCAAAATTTTGTATTCTTCTAAACCTTTCTTGAATTTTTTTAGAAGTTAAAAAAAATCATAAGTAACTAATGATGTACAAAGTAAATCAATTATCTATGTTATTGTGTTGCATTTGAAATAAATATGAAAAATTAGCTAGCATTCATGTGTAAAGGCAGCTAAAAAGAATAATAATGATAGAAGATTAGATTGATTCTTTGGTTTGGATATCAGGCCACTATAAAAGAACACTATGTATGTCTTGTATGTAAAAGCAATTGTAATATAAGGTGGAAAAAAAATTAAAGATCATATTACAAATTATTTTCCCAAATTTAATGCACAAATAAATTCATTTTAGCGAAGGGGGGAGAATCGGGCATGACACCACCAACAATATCCAATCTTCTTTTGCTTAACATTCACAATTTACTATGATTAAAAGAAAGTAAATTGTGTAGTCTTCTTCCCCTACCCAATATCTTCAAAACTCTCCTACTCACTCAAAAATATGTGGACACGGAATCTAAAGAAGGTGATCGAGCATCATACTTATTCTTAGCTTTACCACCACCATTCTTGTTATTATCATCATCTTCATCGTTTTTACCACATACTATGGAACATTCGTACCCACAAATATTTCCAAAACAAGAAAATTTACCAGCTCCACCATCAGCGGTGTATCGACGAGTATGTATCGTCCTAGGGAAGATGGTGCTACTACTACTACTACTACCACCATCAATGTAAGAACCACCATAACCATAAGCCATTGGCATCTCCGATCTCCATCTTTCTAGCTTTGTCCTTACCCCTTCACTTTCATAATCCATTATTATTGAGCTCCCTCTTTCCTCAAAGTTCTTGAACTTATTATCCTCTGCAATTGCTGCTGCCACTTCCGATGGCGATGGCCCTATTTCTGATTCATACCATACCGACCCTGCTGCAAAGTCTTTTGTGATAGATGAGTAATGTGGCAACCAATTGTGCTTTTTGTTGGTTGATATTATTGTATTATCTTGCGTTTCTTTTGTGTTTTTGTTGTTGTTTGACATCCCTTTAATCGATGAAGTTGCTGCATAACTAACAACTGATTCAACCTTTTTACCTTCTTGGTCTTTTAATTTAACAGCTAAACTTAGATTTGATCCAGCTTCAACTCCATTTATTATAGATAATGGCTTATCAAACATGTGCTTTCCCTTCTTATTATATTCTTCATTAATATTTTCTGAACCATTGATTATTGAATTATTAGGCTTGGGGAATATGTAACCTTGATCATATTCATTTTCAAGAATAGAGCTTCTTTCGCTTTTCACACGTCGAAGTTGGTTCAAACCCTTTTGAACATTAAGCTCACCATCTTGTGGATGGTTATTATGATTCTCATCTTGACCCATCAACTTTTGATACCCAACAGCTGATGTGCTAAGTTGAGTGTATAATGGCATGCTACGCATGGTGCTATCTAGGACGGTAACACCGACATTTAAAATGCCTTGGGGTCGACCAGATGGGCGACGAACTTGAAGAGCAACAAATCGCATGCCAAGATGGTTGTGATTAAAGGTCCTTGTTTGTGGGGGAATGAGATTGCCTACAAGGACTCGTACCGTGCCCACGTGAACATCACGGAACCAATGTAATGCATAGATTTCAATCATAATGGCTGATGTATCTGACTGAAGAAATTGGTTGTCGACACGAAAGACAAATTTATCGTTCCATGTTGGGTTGGTTACACCTTGTGTGTCGACACGGGTGGTAAGCTTTCGATCTGGGTGAACCCATGCCACAGCATACGTTCGCATGGACCGCGCAACCTTAGCTATATCTTGAGCTGATATTAGATTTATCTCTAAGAGTTGGAAAGGTGATAAACCTGCCATTACTAAAAGTATGTTTCTTATAATGTGTGAAGTCAATAAATTTTATTATTTTGTGCTTGTTTTTTTTTTCTTTTTTGTAAAAATGCTTATGTTCAAAGGAAAACAATTTTGTAAGATGGTCGTGTATAAAAGTTGTTATAAAGGTCAACCCACTCATCATCGTCCTAAAGAACGATGAAAGGAGGGTGACATAAATCTAAGAGAAAATGGAAGCAAAAACCAAAGGAGAGGAGAGAGAGAAAAGGTGAAAATTTAGAGAAAGAGCAAAGAAAAAATTGATGGAGAGAGAACAAGAAAAGAAAGAGCGAGATAGAGAAAAAAATGGAATGCGCCTAGTTATTTAACAGTTCTCTCTTTTCTCTCCCACTCAATTAATTTATATGCAAATCTAATTTTGGTTTTGTACAATATTTATGTGACATCTTTTTGTTTTTTAAATACTAATTGTTGTAATTTAATGAGAACTTTCATGGTTGACATGTTTTTTCTATAGATAAATTTAGATGAAATAGCTATATTAGATTATATCTCACTTTAGAGGGCTTAAAATATTACAGTCCCCGTTGATATGCATGCTTTAGAATCTTATATATTTCGCTCAAATTCTAAATAATTTTAATTTAATGAGTAACAATATTTTCCTTTACGTTAACATATTATTAATAAATTCGTGACGTTTACATCAATTACTAGAGCATAGACCCCACAAAAAGATATATACTAGTACTATTATTACTATTATTACTACTACTACTACTACTACTATTATTATTATTATTATTATTATTATTATTATTATTATTATTACTAACAACATATGAAATTAGCCATAAGAAAGAAAATACAAAGAATATGATATACAACAACTATCATATCTCTATAATGTTTTATTTAATTTAGTATTATATATTTGATTGATTTAAATTTAATCTATCTATGGATAGTAGATATATGAATTTTTTTTATTAATAAATCAATATTTTTATTATTAAAAATATTATATGTATATAATATGTATTTATGGAGGAAAGAACCTGTGTAGACCTAAGGTTTCCACGCTCCAACTGACGTCATGTTAAACATAGCACGTAGTATTCTACGTTATATTGAACATAGTAATACTAATTTTATTATAGTGATCTTTATTATATATTGACCTATATATTAAAAAAAAAATTATTAATTAAGAGGAAGCCCCAATTTATCTTCTTGATAAACAAAATATGTTTATCAAGTGGTATTTTTGTAAAATAAATCAATAATTTTGTCTAGTTAGCATGTCATTTTGGTAAATATATAAAAATTTGTGAGACCCATATATATATGACAAAAAATTGTTGATTTATTTACATTTTTGCCATTTTGTCCAATTAACATGGCATTTTGGTAAATAAATTAAAAACTGTGAGACTCTTATATGACAAAAAGTTGTTGATCTATTTATATTTTTGTCATTTGATAAACATATTTTGTTTCTCAAGGAGCTAAACTTGTATTTTTCTCATAAAATTCTCTTATGACTTTATTATAACCCAATGACTATTACTTTATTATAATACTTTCTCTGTACCATAAATATTGCAACAAGGATGAAATTACACATCTCAATGCACATTTTATATATTAAATATCTATAATTATATAAAAGTAAAAATTATAATAAGTTGATTTTGTGAAAGTATTTTACAAGACAAATCTAACAAGACCCCACATGACTATATTTTACTTTACATATAAATCATAATTTATGGTCAAACAAGCCTGATGAATATTGCAAAAGTCCAATTATTGCAATATTACTAGAACGGATGAAGTAACATTTTCACAAAGTATCAACTATTGGTGAGACAAAATCATGTCATAATCAACTTTAGCAATCTCTTCACAAGTACAATTTTGCTACACAATCAACACTCTACATTTTCATCTCTCTTTTTCCTTCATATCTCACTCTAAGGCCCCGTTCACTTCACCTTAGTTTTGTTGAACTGAAACTATTTTTACCGAACTGAAATTATTTTGTTGAACTTGAATTAATTTTATTGAATTGAAATTACTTTTGCTGAACTGAAATTATTTTTACTAATTTTCTGTTATATTTCTTCTTTAAAGTTATTGATTTTTATTGAACTGAAATTACTTTTATTGACCTGAACTTAATTTTATTTAACTGAACTTATATTTACTGACTGAAATTATTTTTACTGAATATTATTTTTGTAAGTTGAAATGAACGGGCCTAACTTTCAATTTTATCTTTCTCTCCATTTTCCTCTCAAATGCAACTTTTTCTCCTCCATTTTTACTTCATCACTCCATAAATTTCCTCACTTTTAGTTTGCTCATCTTCTTCCTTCTCTTTTTCCCACAATTTTAGCTTTAGAGCTCAAATCGTAGCCACTGGCCGACGCCATCTCTAGTATAACCTCGAATTTCTACAACAATGGCGGACGACTAATCTAAAACTTCAAATCAAGCCTAGGTTAAACATCGATGTCGTAAGAGATTTCATATATTTTTATTTATTTATCTATATATTTATATCCTCTAAAATTAATTATTACTTTGCAAAAAAGAAAATTCTTACAAAAATTAATTTGACGAATTTGAAGAAGAAGAAGAAGAAAGATGTTGTAGTTGTCGTTATCGTCTTCGACTCTTCGTCATCAACTTCAGCTACGAGTCGACTTGATAAGGTTACTTGCGAGCTTCTTGTTGGTCCTAATTGGGCTATGAATAGATATTTGTGATTTTTGTAATTCTAATCACTAGTAATATTTTAATTTCTTCTTTTTTTTTGTCGTTGACTTTTTTTTTTTAATGTTTTTTGATATTTTTAAATATATTTTTGTATATTTGTATAGGCTTGATGATAAAATTCGTTGTTTGGAATATATATGTAATTGTCGGCTAATATATATTAGTAATCAATTGAATGATATCGTTATGTATCTAGGATGGATGATATGATTAATTAGCTAGATGATATCATTCATTGTTTAGATGATATGATTAATTGTTTGAATGATATCTTTAAGTGACTATGCTAGATTGTATGATTAATTGGTTATTAGATGTTATGGTTTATTGTTTAGATGATATCAACAATTACTTGAATGATGTCATTGTAATTAAATTAACATTTTTAAAGGCCGAACATTTCTTATTTTGTGTTGATCTCACAAAGTCATTGGTGAGGCAATTCTCACCCAATAACTCAGAGTTGTGCAGAGTGCGGTCTAGACCGCACTAAATCGAATTTAGTGCGGTTTGCGGTTTGGAAATTGCGTTGCGGTTTTCAAATTTGATCAAACCGCGGTTTTGCGATTTGGTGTGGTTTTAAAAAAATTTCAAACCAAACCGCAATTTAATGAATTAGTGATGTATTGTAATTTAAGACATCAGACATTATGTTGATGTAGGATGCAAGTGTTTTATGTTGTGTGTTAGATATTAAACATTATTAGTTTATTTTGATGTTGGATGTAAGTAGGACTTTTGACTTTACTAGAATTGTTAATCACTTTTGAAGGTGGACAGGTTCTGTTTCTTCTTAAAGACTTAGAGTCAATATGACATAATATTTTAGTATAATTTAATTAAGAATTAAAAAAATGAGTTTTAATATTTGCATATTAACTTCATAATCACAAAATAAAACTACCTTTTTTAATCATTATTTGTGAGGTAAAAAAATTGTGGAAAAAAACCGCAAAACGCACCGCACCAAACCGTATTTTGCGGTGCGGTTTGGTGCGGTTTGAAAAATAATCACAAACCGCAATTTTGTGGTTTGGTGTGGTTTGAGATCAAAACTGCACCAAACCGCACATTGCACAGCCCTACAATAACTTCTCTTTATTTTATCATAGTGACCTTTTTATTAATATAACGACGTTTAGATAACAATATTTAAATATGATGACCCTAATATAAGTATTTCACAAAAGATATGTAAACTAAGTGTATTTAAGAGTGTATAAAGATAACCTACAAAATCGACTTCGTCCTTCAAAGGATATGGGACAATGCTTCACAAGGTGTTGAAAACCTACCCAACCGACCTGATCTGAAATTGATCCTAAAATACTTCGGATATCGACTTATTTGAACTAATAATTTAGCATTACTCAAATTCAAAATTAGATCCTATCAGATCTAATTTGACTTCACCGAAACGAGTCCCACTAGTCGCATAGTCCCTATATGCATTTTTTTGCATATACGATGGCAAAAGTGGAAAAGCGCTGAGGTTTGACATTTAAAATGGTATTTTTTATGGTTACGGTGGTACATTTTTAGTACTATTATGCATGCATATTGTACCATTATGTCTTAGTAGTACTATTATATCTCATAGTGGTATAATATTTTGATATACCATTTACAACATTTAATAGGTACTTATTTGTACTATAGCATAATATTTATACTACTACAATATTAAATGGTACTTTATACTCGTACTACAACTTCAACTTTATTACTACATTGTCATTCTATATGCAATATTTCCGCCACACCATTCTCCCATCAAAACCAACCCAAACTCTTAGACACCTCTAACAGTAACTTGTCAGCGATGGGTGCAAGTCCCAAGCTATATTTCACCCACGCTACCCTCCTACGTATGCTCTACACGTGTTGCGTATCGAATCTTTAAGCAAAAATAAAATAAAACTAGAGGTCCTTTAATTGCAGGAAATTTTCACTCTCAAGCAAAGGCAAAATCAAGATCCCAGTTCTATTAATTTCCTAATAACATAGAATAATACCATCTTCAATCTCAAAATCAAGCAGAAAAAAAATTCTAAAATGTTAGAAACGGCCCTGTCTTTATCGATATACACCAATAATAATGGTGTTGAAGAACAGGATGGAAAGATTGATGGGGAATTTCAGGGTAATAGTGATTTTAGTTTTATGAAACCAAACATGGATTTAATCAAAGAAGAAGGTGATGATTTGGGTGAAATTGTTGATGGGTTTGTAAGGAAAACTGTTATGAGTTTGTATGATACTGTATACGAGTATTGTATTTATATTCTATATGAATCTGTTTATCATGAAGTTTAAATTTGAAGTGGGGTATTATATTTGAAGTCCGAGTTTATATCTTAGATATAGAAACAAGGACTTATATAGTTATATTTGCCTAAAAATCACAGAAGTAAACCCCTAATAGGCTCTCTTAACAAATGATCTTAAACTCGTCTTAGTCAATATATTATGCGGAATGCTGATATGTACTTCATCCGTTCTCTTTTAATTGCAAAATGGGGTGCATAGTTTTGGAAAATTAAAGAGGAAAAAAGTAGACTCGAGTGATGAGGAAACAGGTAAAGAAAATCTTTGACCAAATACAGTAATTTTGCACGAGACCAACCAGGCATAGCTCATTTGGACCCATTGTTAGCTTTTGCAAACTTTGCTTTTGTTATTTTTTTTTACCCTTTATCATGTCAATGTAGATTTGTATATC